CCACCGTCACCAGCACCGTCCCCGCCAGGATGGCCAGGATGCCGGGAGCCAGCATGCCCCACAGCCTGCACAACAGAGTAGCAACGCAGCATGAGGAACGGATCATTTGTGAGCCCAGCGGTTGACGCTCCGTGCGTAGCAGGCAGCTGCACACGGCGGCTGCCACAGCTGCCAGCGCGGCGGCAGGCACCACTCACAGGCCAGCGGGTGTGCCGCCGGGCCGGCTCTCGGTGGTGGCCTGCACCGCGCTTTCCACCTGCACCTCGAGCGTCTGCAGGCCAGCAGGGCGAACCAGGAGGGAAATGCAGGCAGGGCAGGTGAGCAGCTCGCCAGCGGCATGGGCAATGACTTTCTCTGCCAGACGCAACGGGCACCACTGCGATTTGCCGCTGACACAAGCAGGCGGCGCAGGCATGGCGTCAGCCGCCGGCAGCAGCGCAGTGTAGTAATGTCCCTGCCCCAGCAAAGGCAGGGGCGGGGCAGGGCGCCCCGACCACACACGCCCACCCTCCCACCTTGGCTGTGCGGCCAAAGAAGCGGTCTGGGTCTGAGGACAGCATGCCGATGGGGTCGTCGGCGGACAGGCGCTCCACCTCCATGGCAGCAGCAATGTCCTCGTCTGCGTGGGCATTGCAAGCGGGGACGATAGAGCAGCGGCGGTTAAAGAGGCAGTGGGGTGGGAGGGGCTGCGGGCTGGGGTTGACGCGGGCACCGCCTTGCGGGAGCTGCAGCCCTGCAGGCACATCCAGCCCGGCAACAGGCCACACGCAGCTCCACCAGCGCCCTGCGGCTGCCCCGCAGCTAACCTGTGGCTCCTGCAGGCACATCCACCCCCAGGGTGGCCGTCACGTTGGCGCTGAGAGTGCGGCGTGCCACCTGGCGCACCGACACCACCTCCACATCATCTGCAGCAGGTGGCGCAGGTGAGACAAGCAGGCGGCGCGGTCAGCAGCCAGCCAGGCAGGCAAGCCCAGTGCACGGCTGGGCAGCGTGCAAACTCGTGCTGGTGCACAATGGGCCCACCCAGCGAGATGTTGAACTGGTGGGCGGTGTCGGCGCGGATCAGGCTGGTCACAATGGCCTCGGGCGCAGCATTCACTCCCGCCTGCGCCAACAAGCCCGTCAGTAGCGTCAGACAGACACGCAGCCGAAGGCAGCTGCGCAGCCCCAGCGGCACAGCGTGCCCGCTGTCCCCCCCGGGATGGCCGCCCCCAGCGCAGACACAGCTCCAGCAGGCAGCCAGCGGCATGCTCGCAGCACCAGCCCGCGCTCTTCCCCCCCAGCCTCACCCGCACCACCACATCCTCTGGATCCACCCCTGTGAGGGTGACCCAGAAGGAGACGACCACGGCATAGCTGCAGGGAGGCAGGCAGGCAGGCAGGCAGCACATGGTGGGTAGCATGCGAAGCATGGGAAGTCTGGAAAGAAGGGTGGCGGAACTGAGCAGGTCAGGTGGCATGGGACGGACTCCACGGCACGCTGATGCTGATCGGATGCATGGCTGCAGCCTGCTCTGCCGCACCGTGGCGCCTGGTAGGTTCCGGGCCTGAGTGGCACATCACACGATCTGCTGCCGTCGTCACGCGTGGTGGTGTTGGCGGGGCAGGGCAGGCACAGCGACGCGTTGGCTGCACCAGGGGGCGGGGCGGGGCAGGGGACGGCGCATAGCGCAGCTCGTCAGCCAGAGGACCTGACGGCGCTGGCCCCATTGCCTAGCACACCCACGCCCAGCATCCTACCCGTGGGCGCGTGCGTGCCCTCTATGCAGTTCTTGCAGTAGGCGGAGCCCCAGGAGTAGGCAAAGGTGCCTGGGCCGCAGGCCAGGCAGGCCGGGGACTGCTCCTGCAGGTCAGCAGAAACGAGGGGAGGGTGAGGGGCGGCGTGAGCATGCCGCGGGCGGCGACAACCGCCCGCCATGGAAAGGCATCCCGATGCCGCGGCCGGCCGGCCTGGCTTGAACAGCGCAGAAGCGGGGGGCTTACCGAGCGGGCAAAGGTGCCAGGTGGGCACATGTGGCAGGCGGACGAGTTGACTGCAGACAGGCGGGCAGGTGGGGGAGCATCGACAGGCGCGGGCGGCGTCAGTGAGGGTGGCCAGCATTGACAGCTGGAGCTGCCAAGGCTTGCTGTATAACCCGCAAAGCAAGGACACTGCAGCCACGATTACTCGCCCGTGCCTGCCGCCCAGCCAGCGGGGCACACCGTGCACATGCTCTGCATGGCCGGGGACAGCGGCCAGCCTGCAGCACGCGCGCCGAACAGCAGCAGCGGCGGTGTTTGGCATGGACGCATGCACGACAGCCCTAGCTCACGCCAAAGGAGGAGAGCGCGGGGCAACCACCCAGGCCCACGCGCTTCATCCCGGCGGCTCACCTCGCTGCCGTGTGCTGGGCCCCGCTGCAGCGGCCGACGTGGCGTTGCCGCCGGTTGCCGCCGCCTCTGCCACCGCCAGCTGCTGCTTCTGTGCGTCCCTGCCCGCCACCACCACAAACTCCAGCGGGTAGCGCCGTGTGGTCACCCCATCCTCTGCCACCACCACCACCTGCAGGGGCGGGCGGGGGGAGACCAGGCGCCATTCCACCGATCAACAGTTCGGGCAGCAGAGGGAGTGTCAACACCGCTGCAGGCCGAGCCAGAGGGATCCAGGGCGTCCCCCACTGCGCCCACCGTGCACCACCGAGCCCTCCACCACTCACCTCTGCCTCCAGGCGGGACCCGGGCAGCAGGCCCATGATGAAGGCGGAGGGCAGGAAGGAGGCGTTGCTGCAGGAGGAGCAGCAGGTGGTGGGCGAGGCGGGTGCTGCAGCGCCCAGCATGCCAGCGGCTAACCACACCTTGCCGCAGGCTGAGCAGGGCCTTATTCTGGGAGGCAGGCTGATCGGCCCGCCTGCCAGCCACCCTCACCCCACCCGCACCTGCGCTGCTGCTGTGCTGCCGTGGTGTCCTCCAGCTGGTCCGCAGCCACATCGCCGCCGCGCGACAGCACCTGCAGGTAGCAGCAGAACGACCCAGCGGCGGGGGGGCAGTGGGCACGCAGCATCTCAATAAACAATGAGCGCCCCGCATCGCTGGGGTCCCTTTCCCTGCTGTAGGCTGCAGGCGGCACGGCGGGGGCAGCGCATGTAACCCTCGCCCACCTGGCCGTTGACCTCTACCCGCACCCCTGCCACGTTGGGCCGTTTCAGGGCAGGCGTCAGGCTGACCAGGCGGCTGCGCTCGCTCACATTGAGCGACAGCAGCTGGCCTGCAGCAGCAAAGGGCACAAGCGGGCCGCGGGTGTTGGAGTCTCGGTCGAGCGATTGCGAACCCAAGGGAAAACAGCCAGGCGGCGCATGCACCGCGTGTGCACAACGGCGGCGCCCGGCTGCTCCCGCACCAGGCACGCATGGCTCGGCCGCTAGAGGCACCACCAGGCTGTCGCTGCCTGTGTCCAGAGCCGCCCGGCTGGGTAGCTTCCTGCTGCCGCTGCTGCTGGATGGGCCGCAGAGCAGCACCGCGGTGTCGTCCGACGATCTGACTGCAGGGCAGGCAACATGGCAGCGCACAGCGGGGGCAAGCATTGACCTGGCATGCCTGCCGAGTGGTGTGGCTGCACCAGGCAGATCCAGCACTCCCGGGCCGCTGCAGCACCCGGCCCCTGCTTGCCTGTGATGCTTTCCAGCTCTGCATGCTCAGGGTCAGCCAGCCGCACCACGGCCAGGCTGTACTGCTCCTGCCCGCCGCTGCCGCCGCCGTCGGCGGGGCCGCTCATGCTGCGCACCAGCTCCACCTGCAAGCAGGCAGCGCGGTGAGTGGGCACGTTAGGCTCCAGCATCAGGCGCACGATCTCAACACAGGTGGCCAGACATGCCTCTGCCGTCTGGTCTGCTGCGTTACTCGGCTTGTGGCCTGCATGCTGCCGCTGCAAGGCATGGCACAACTCACCGCAGGTGGCGGCGCGGGCGCCAGGCCCTCCTGCGCCTCCCCCGGCAGCGTGACCGTGAACTCATTCTGCCCCGCCTGCAGCGGCAACACCCATGCCGTGTACTCGCACGCATCCTCCGCCCCGACGCTGCTGCTACCCTTGGTGCTGATGCTGGTGGCGGCATCCTTGGTGCTGACGCCATCCAAGGCTCTGCTGCTATCCTCGCTGCGGATGCTGGTCACGCTGCTGCTGCCCTGCACGCTGCTGGCGCTCTCCTGGCTGCCGCCCCCCTCGCAGCCGCAGGCCGACTCGGCGACGGCGGTGGGGGCGGGGCGGAGCGCTGCCACTGCCTTGTTGGAGCCGGCTGCAGGCACGGTCTGCACAGACCCGGGGCCCTGCAGAACGACCACGCGCAGGTCGCGGCAGAAGGCAATTAATACATGATCAGCTGCGATGAACAGTCACAACCAGCCGCAGCCCTACACTGCGAGCGGCGGCGCATGCCGCCTGCCCGTGCCCCCGGCCCACCTGGCTGCTGTCGAGCAGGCAGAGCGTGACTGTGGGCACGTCGCTCTCCACCATGGCCGCATACTCCCGCACGCTGCGGGGGTGAGGGGAAGGGCGGGCGGGGTGGTGGGTGAGCGGATGGTGGCAAGAGGAAGGAAAGGAGGGGTTGCAGATAATGGAGGGGTGGCAGAGGCAGGATGCGAAGCAGTCGAGCGCAGGAACGGTGGTTGCTGAGCTGGAAGGAGAGGCCAGGGCACGTGCACGGCAGCAGGCTGCTGATGGCGGCAGCCTCACCCCGCATCTATCAGGCTGCTGCTCAGGTCGATCACCGTTCCGTTGAGGAATAGCCCAAAGTCGGCCTCCTCTGCAACAGGCAAAGCGGTGGTCAAGGCAACACAGTGGTCAGCAAGCGAAGCAGACAAACAGTGCTGGACAGTCGAGTCCGGCACGAAACGATTGTGATGGGAGACTGGCGACGCGCAGCGCCCCAGCAGCAGCGCCCCAGCAAGCAGGAGCGGGGCCGGTAGCGGGTGCGGCGCTACCTGAAAAGCTGCCGTCGCTACTGCTGACAGGGCTGGCGCTGCCTCTGGCGGCGCCGTTGGCGCCACCGCTGCCAGCGCCGGGCTGTTTCAGTGCGAAGCCGGGCGGGCAGGTGCCCAGGGGGGAGCCGAAGATGTGCAATGCCACCGCATCCGGCTGTGGCTGCACCCTGGCATGGTAAATGGCCTCCAGCTCCAGGCCTGCATGCAGTAGCGGAACGCCGGGAGGTGGAAAGGGATCAGCGGAGTCACCAAGCAGGGCCAGGCACACACAGAGCCGAACAGGCAGGCTTCACAGGGCCATCTGCGCATCAGCAGGTCAAGGTATCAGCAGCGCTGGCTCAGCAACGCACCCAGCCGGTACTCGGCCTCAGGCGGGATGCGGGCCCAGGCCAGCGGCAGCTCAATCAGCTGTTCCTCCTGCTCTGCCTCCGCTGTTTGCTGCTGGCCCTCGCTGCCGGCGCTCTTGCCCGCCGCCGCTGCTGATGGTGGCGGCCTAAAGTATAGGAACCCGCTCATGGTCTTTGCGGGCAGGAGCTGCTGGCGGGTGTGACCGCTGCCAGCTGCAGGGCTGCCGCTCAGCAGCTCCAGCGAGAATTTGAGAGTGGCCATCTCGCGCAGCCGCCCCGCCAGCAGGCGCACAGGGATGGCCGCCATGCCGCTGCTGCTGGCATCGCTGCCGCTGCTGCTGTTGGCGGGAGGGTAGGCCGCCTGATTGGCAACGAAGCCAAACAGCGGCAGGCCGAGGTCGGCGGCAGCAGCCTCGCTGGCGCCAGCCTCGTCACCCTCGACCTCCCCTGCTACCTCCAGCACTAGCGTGGTGCTGCTGCGCTGCTCGTCAATGGCAGCGCCCGAGGCGGCAGCCAGCTCCACACGCAGCAGCGGCTGGCCCGAGGCGGGTGCTGCACCCACGCCGTTGCCGGCGCCGAATTCGTCGCCGCTGCCGGTGCCACCAGAAGCATACAGCGCATCCTCCAGCACCACCGACAGCGGCAGCTCCGCCGCAGAGCGCAGGCGCACGCGCTTGGCGTCGCCTGCCTCGCCTGCCCGCCAGCTCAGCTGTGCCGGCTCCAGCCACAGCTCATCTGGATCGACTGGCACCCAGGCGCCGCTGCTGCTGTTGTTGCCGCTGGCATCACTGCTGCTGACGTTGCTGGGGAGCAGCAGCCGCAGGCTGGCGGTGACGGGCTTGACTGCTGCGGCCGACAGCCGCACCGATACCACCACGCCGCCGCCGTACGCCTCACTGCCGTTGCTCAGGGGAGGCAGCACCAGCGTGGGCTGCGCCATCTGCACCTGCGGCGCTCCGGCAGCGACGCCGACCTGCACGTGGTGGTTGGGTGTCATTGGTGGTGATGAGAGACGCTGTGTGCTCCACAATGCAGGACGGCCCGGGGCCGGGCGCCGCCGCTCACCAGCACAAGCAAGACCGCCGCTGCGGCCGCTGTAGCAACTGGCGCCCGGCCGGTGTGCCTCCCGTGACCCATGGCACCCGCTCGGCTGTCGCTCAGGGAGCCATGAGGGCCAAGGGAGGTGGACACCCAGAGAAGTGTGGAAATTGGGTGAGCGCTGCGCCTGGATGGCCGGGCCCGCCCCTTCCCGCTGCTCAGGCAGACGACAGGCTCTCGCGGGCAGCACAGAAGGCGGAAGGGGGCACGGAGAAGAGGACGCGTTTCAGAGCTCGGTTTCAACCCCAGTGCTCTGCAGCCGCAATCCCTCACGTGGATGCACGACTCGGGACTGTCCAGAAGGCTTTGAACGAACCGGCCGACGTGGCATGGGCGCCGGGCGGGCGCCGGGGCGCCGCTGCTCAGTGATTGAGGCTCTGCAGGCCCACCTTCGTTGTCATGAAAACAATGAGTCAGGAGGATTGTGCAGTAAGAACGGCAAGCACGCAAAGATGGCAGCAGTTTCAGCAGACGAAGTGCCAGCGTGCGTTGCGGCGCAACAACGGCCGCCGCTGGGATTCAAGCGCTGTCCGTCACTATACAATACACTGGCTCAGCTGGTTGGCGAATTGTCTACTGAGGTCACGCCATGGCCGTGCCTGCGCGCCTGCTGCTGCCTGTGCTCCTGCTGGCCGCCGCCGCTGTGCGCTCCGCTGGCGGTGGTGGTTGCCGCAAGCTCGCATTTGCGCCTCCATCGCAATCCGCTGGCCATCCTGGTTGATCGCAGGGTGTTGCAAAGGCGTTCGCCTGCAGCTGGCGCGACAGTTCCTCACCTCGAACTCAGCCAGCCCCAATGGCACCTCGCTGCGCCATTTTCATGACGGCCTGTCGATTGGCTGTGCTGCGCCAACAGGCGCTCGCGGCGGGCCGGAGAGGCGGTGGCGGCGGCAGCCGCCCGGCACATAGCGCCGCCCACTACACCGCTGCTGCCGATGCCACCGCTGCATCGCCTATGCCTGAGCACCACGAGACCCGCGACCTCTGGTTTCAAAGCAACACCCGCTTGAGCATTGCCGCACCGCCAGTCGTCTACCACCCGCTGTACTCTGCGCCGCAGCTGGCCCCCGGGCACCGCTTCCCCATGGTGAGCTGGCGCCGGCTGCTGGGGTTGCATCCACCCACCCCCCTGCTGTGCCGTCGCCTTGCAGGCTGGCGATTGCACAGCATGGCACGTGTGGCAGCGCTGCTTCTCACGCTGCCGCCGCCGCCGCTCCCCGCACAGGCCGTGTTTTCCACCATCCACCGCCTGCTGCTGGCTGACGGTGTGGTGGACCCGCGGCAGGTGTGCCCTGTGCTTGCCCCCGAGCGCAGCTTGTGGTGTGACAGGAGCGGCGATTGCTTCTCTCGCACTGGCTGGTGGTGCACGTGCTCTGCATGCTCCGGCGCACCCGGCGTGCCGCCCAGCCGCTCCGTATGCTGCCCTCCCCACCGCCGCTACCCCTGCAGGTGCACCAGCCCTCCGCACTGCCGGGCCGCGACCTGCTACACCTGGCACACGCCGCCGAGTATGTGGATGCATTTTGTGGGGGCAGCCTGGGTGAGGAGCCGCCATGGAGGCCCTCAGGAGCTTGAAGCACCCGTGCCAGCGCATGCCAGTGCTGTTGGCCAAGCCACCTGTCACCAGCTGGCATCAGCAGCAGCGAGTCGGTGCATGGTTGCCGGCGTCGCTGAGCCCTCTTGCCCTGCAAATGCGCGCCGGCCTGCTCGCCTGCCCTCCCGCCCGCCTACAGACGAGCAGCGGGTGCGGCGCATTGGGTTTGGGGAGGCCACTCGCACGCGGCTGCTGGTGGACAGAACGCTGGCAGAGGTGGCAGGTGTGTGTGTGTGTGTGTGGTGGTGGTGGGGGGGGGGGGGGGGGGTTCATGGCTTCTTGCAGCTGGGGTCGTGGCACCGGGGTGCTCCCCAGGCATGCTGGTGGGTTCTGGCAATCGCAATAGCCCATCTCTGGACTGGGCACTGTGCCTGCCACCCTGACTGCCTTCCTGCCCCAGCCATGCAGGCACTATCCTGACCGCTGAGCTAGCTCTTGGGCATGGCCTGGCCTGCAACACCGCAGGGGGTGAGATGCTGGCTGCTGCCGGCCCGCAAGCCGTGGTGCATGGGATTGCCTGGCTCTTAAGCTAGATGGATCTTTAAGGCGGCATTGCGAGGGCGGCCTGCTGCCGTGCAGGCACCCACCATGCCTTTTCCGACTATGGTTCAGGTGAGGCAGCCTGCCAGGGCAGCACCCTGAACCAGGCTGCAGCTTGTGCGTGGTTTGATATGCCTTGCACCATCATGCCGCTGTTGCACCATGCCCAGTGCCCGCCCGCCTCCTCCCCACTCGCCCCCCGCCACCTCCCCACGCCCACCTCCTGCTCCGCCCCGCGCCCAAGCGTGTCGTTTCAGCACTGATGCCTGGTGTTGCAAAGCCGCAAGCGTGCTGCCGTGCCACCCGTTGCTTGCTGCCGCCTCCACCTGGCCGCCCCGCAGGCTTCTGCATCCTCAATGATCTGGCAATCACCGCGCAGCTGCTGCTGCACCAGCGCCGCTGCCAGCGAATCCTCATCCTTGACCTGGATGTGCACCAGGTGCGGCCGGCTGCGGCGGTGCTGCTGGTGCCGCTGCCGGAGCAGTGCTGCCTTTGCTGTAGCAGCGTAGCGGCACTTGAACGCAAAGTGGCAGCGGCACTGATGGTGCATTACAGTGGCTGGGGAGGTGCTTGCTGCTCTGAGCGCTTCTGGCCGCTGGAGCCGCCCTCCCAGCGTCCGCTCGATGCCTGCTGCCTGCCACCTGCAGGGCGACGGCACCGCCGCCATCTTCAGCGGCAGGCAGGACGTGTTCACCCTCAGCGTGCATGCCGCCAGCAACTTCCCCGCCAGGAAGCAGGTGTGTGCGGTTGGGTGTGTGTGTGTGTGGCGGTGGGGTGGGGCCGGTGCTGGCGGCTGCGCTACTTCGTACTGCCCTTCACGATTGCGCTGCTGCTGCCAAATGCTGGCACCCATGCGCGCTAGCGGTAGCAGCAGCAGCATGCCATTCGTCGCTGATGTATGTGCCTGCCTGCCCGGCTCCCTGGCGTCCCTGCAGGCCAGCCATCTGGACATTGCGCTGCCGGACGGTACTGCTGACAATGAGTACCTGCGGTGAGAGGCAGCCGGATTGCCTGGAGTCAGCTGCAGAAGTTTCCGAAGCTGGCAGGGCTCTGTCAGGCTGCAGCACTACCTGCGTGCCCCACTGTGCTCCCCCGAGCTGCAGGGTGGTGGCAGAGTCGCTGTCGGGAGTGCTTCAGGCATTCCGCCCCGACCTGGGTGCGCCTCCCGCCTGCCCGCCTGCCGGATGTTTGGCTCCTGCCTGCCTGCTCCTGCTGGCGCGGGCCTGTCGCAGTCTCGTGAGCGAGCTGCACACATCCTTGCACCAGTTCCCGTCACACACTACGCACACCATCACTCCCGCCTATGCAGTGTTGTACGATGCTGGAGTGGACCCTCATGCTGACGATGCCCTGGGCCGCCTGGCTCTCAGCGACGCGGGGCTGTGGCGCCGCGAGCTGCTGGTGAGGCCAGGCCCAGCAGCTGCTCCCTTGAATGCCCCGTGACAAATGCTTCAGCTGATGCTACATGGTATCGCATGTTTTGTGGCACCCTGCAGGTTCTCGACAGCTGCTTGGGCATGGGCGTGCCCGTGGCCGCCTACGTGGGAGGCGGCTACCACGCTGATCTCGAGGTGCTGGCGAGGCGCCACTGCTGGCTGCACCGTGCAGCGGCACAGATGTGGGAGGAGCACGGCCTGTAGGGAGCGCAGCTGCGGCTGAGCTCATGGTGGGGATAGCTCACTGTGCAGTGCCCTGAAGCAGCAGCAGCAGCAGCAGGTGGCGCTGGTGGCGTCGCATGGCGCTGCTCCTTGCTCTCCCTGCTGGCGCTGCTGCAGCCTTGCGGTTCAGTCCCTGCCTGCAGTAGTTGGTGCCTGCTAGTGTATACACTACGTAGGTTGACGCTCACCCTGCAACACTCTGCCATCCGACGCCGCTGCAAGCTTCTCTTGCTGAAATCACATTGTCGCTTAGCAGGCTGCACCGCCACCGCCCCACAGTGGTGGCGAGCTTTCCATCCATGGCTTCTCTGCAGCCTACGTCATTCCCCCCACGCTGCTGCTGGCCATCCCGCAGCTTATGGCAATCCCCAGCCTACCGCCCCGGCTTCTCCGCAGCCTGCGGCAATGCCCCCCGCCGCTGCCGCTTGCAATCCCGCAGGCTGCGGCAATCCCCAGTCTGCCCTCCTGGCTTCTCCGCAGCCTGCGGCAATCCCTCCGCCGCTGCCGCTGGCAATCCCGCAGCGTGCGGCAATGCCCCCGCCACTTGCCACTGCTGAACCAACAGCGCACAGTTCAAGCTTCTTACTATGCAGCAGCAACATCAAGCAAAGGTCAAGGGAGGCAGATGTTTGGCAGAGACGGCGGTTCTATGACAGTAGTAAGTCTAGCAGAGAGGGAAGGAGGGCCCCGGGGGGGATTGAGTAGGTCGGGCGCAGTGGCGGGGTCAGCTGCCATAGGGCTGCGAGCGCACCGCCTTGCCGCTGCTCATCGCGTCCACCAGCCAGCCGCGGAGGCGCTGCTGCAGGCCCAGGCCCATGACGCCCGCGCCGCCGTTCACACCATACCTGCGCCCGGTGCGCACGCGCGTGTCCATGCATGCTGTTAGGTCAAGCACCATAGTCCCGCCTGCTGCGCTGCCCGCTTGATGCACAGGGCCCCGCTGCACACACGCGAGGCCCTGCCCGGCGCGCCTGGCCCCCACCTGGTGCGCTGCACCGCCTCCACCAGCTCCGGCAGCCCCACAGAGTCGCCTGCGGTGCGCGCCGCCAGGAAGGCGGCCTCGTTCACCACGTTGGCCAGCTCGGCGCCGCTGAAGCCTGCAGGGGAGGTTGCGTGGCAGGGGCGGGGCTGAGCCGTGGCGGAGGGGTGGATCCCGGTAGCATGAGGTGGGCAGGCGGGGCATAAGGTGGCAGGGGGCGGGAGCGAGCGCATCGGCAAACTTGTGGAGCCCTGGACGCCCTGCTGCTCCCTGCGAGGAACCCATGCAGCGCTGCCGGCCACCACCACCCGCCCACTTTTGTTCTTTCTTCTTTAGTTGTTTCACCCGCCCACCCACCCGCAGTGATCTTGGCCACCGCCTCGCACGCCAGCTCCCGCTCGTGCTGGCTGCGCAGCGGCACGCGGCGCAGGTGCACCGCCAGGATGGCGGCGCGCGCCTCCTCATCAGGCAGGGGCACCACCACCTGCGGGTGAGGGGACGGTGTGTATGTGGGTGGATGGGTGGACATGACACACATGGTGTGTGGGTGGGTAGATGGATGGTTGGGCGGTGGTGGCTGCTGCAAGGCCGGCCGCGCAGCCCAGCACAGGCCCGGCGGCACAGCAGTGCCGCCGCCGCCTCCCGCGCACCTTGCGCGACAGCCGCCCCGGCCTCATGAGGGCCGCGTCCAGCACATCGGGCCGGTTGGTGGCGGCCAGCAGCAGCACGCCGGGCCGCGCCTCAAACCCGTCCAGCTCTGCAGGGGAAGGAAGTGGAGGGGGCACATATGTGGGGGGGGACATTCAGAAGGTGGAGGTACAATGAGTGGGTGCCCTCTGGGCCTGCCGCAGGCAGGCATGCGGCAGCTGGCGGGTACGCCCTCCAGCCCATCCACCGCACCCTCGCCAAGCAACCGCTCCGCCACCACCCGCCCCAGCCCCTTCCCCCGCAGCCCGCACCGGTGAGCAGCTGGTTGAGCGTCTGGTCGCGCTCCTCGTTGAGCCCGATGCCGCGCTTTCCACCCACCGCATCCAGCTCGTCGATGAACACAACGCAGGGCGCTTTCTTGCGGGCCTCCCCAAACAGCTCCCTGCGGGGCGGCGGCGGCGCAGGGTGCGAGGTGGGCATGGCAGCCGAGAGAGGCGCGTTGCCACCAACCGGCTCTGCCAGGTGGCACAGTGCCACCTGTACCCCGCCTGCCCACCAACCGGCAGCGCACTGGGAGCGGAGGCGCACCTGATGCGCGCCGCGCCCCGCCCCACAAACAGCTCCACAAACTCCGAGGCGGAGACTGCGAAGAAGGGGACGCCCGCCTCGCCCGCCACCGCGCGTGCTGCAGGGGTGGGGCGGAGGGAGGGAGGCGGGTGTGCGACTGTGTGGATGGCGTGTGCATGTGCGATGGTGGCTGGGGCCACGCTGTGCAAGGCCGGCGGCGGCACCGCCGCCGCGCCGCGCCAGCCGGCGGCGCGCGCGGCAGCCGGGCCAGCGGCCACTCACCCAGCAGCGTCTTGCCGGTGCCGGGCGGTCCCGACAGCAGCACCCCGCTTGGCATCTGTGCCCCCATGCGGGCAAACTTGGAGCTGTTCTTGAGGCAGGCCACCACCTGAAGGGGGTGGGGAGCAGCCAGGAGTAGGTTTCAGGGTGAATTGGCATGGCAGTGCGTGCGTCGCCGCAGGGAGCGCCTGTGTGCGCAGGCAAAGGGAGCGTCCGACTAACACATTCGGCTAACCCCACCCAGCCACGCACCTCTGCCAGCTCCCGCTTGGCCGCATCCATCCCCGCCACATCAGCAAACGTGGTGGCGGGCACCTCGCTGCCGCCGCTGCTGGCGGGCTTGCGCTTCCTGCACGGCGGGCGACCGGCGCGGCGCCGGCAGGTCAGGGACTCACTACAGTGGAGCCCCGGCACTCTCTCGCTGCCTCCAACGGGCTGGGTCAGCAGCAGCAGCAGGGGCAATGCCAGCGGCGTCCAGCGCCAGCCTCACTTGCTGGTGCCCGCCTGGCTGCGCAGGAACTGGCGCACGATGAAGATGAGCGGCAGCAGCGGGATCCACAGCAGCAGCGCGCTGGCAAACACCCTGCAGGGGGCAAGCACACGCGGTGCAGGAAAGGTGAAGCCAGCAGACTGGTGGGAAGGTGCGGGTGTAGGCAGATGCCCAGGCAGAGTGGCGGCTCTCGTCCCTGCGGCCCAACAGCCCAAACCACGACCCCTTTCCTGCCTCGCAGCTCCCTGCACCACCCTTCTTCCGAGGCCCCAGCGCCGCCGACGGCAGCCCCTCAGTAACACCTGACAAGCACCGTCACAAAGCTCTGCTTGAGCACACCAAACTCCACCCCCGCCGCCATCAGCGTGGGGATGAGGCTGGTGTCGGCGGCCAGGCGCTTGGTGTAGAACTGGCGCGGCTGCGGGCCGTGCCCGCGCACGGTCACCACCGCCGAGGCGGCCGCGCCGCCGCTGCCGTCTGGCACCGGCACTGCAGCGGCACCGGCGGGCCACAGGGCGAAGCACGGGCGGTTCGGTGCAGGCGCTACGCTGCCGCCTGGCCCGACCCTAGCAGGCGCAGCGGGCCCGCCCACCAGTCGCACCCCAGCAGCCCTGCCCGCGCCTGCCCCTCCCACCACCAAAGCACGCTGTGCCACATGCCCAGCATGGCAGCAGCGCCGCGTGCCGCCCCACGCCGCCTCACCCTCCACCGGCGCCTCGCGCGGCGCCGCCGCCGCCACCTGGCTGGTGTGCGGGCGCAGGTCGAACGTGATGCGCGCGCTGCTCTCCTCGAAGCGGCACGCCCGCACGTTGCCGCTGTGCACCAGGGACAGGAACTCTGAGTACATGAGCTGCGGCAGGGGGTGGTGGGAGGGTGGCACACATGGCCATGCAGGAACAGGTGTACGGCTGCCAGCCTCCCGGCCCTGCAGACGCGGCCCCGCCACGCATCCGGAGGCAGCACGCTGGCACCAGCAGTGGCAGCGGCAGTGGCGGGCGTCACGTGCTCGCCCTCACACCTCTTGCGGCCCCGGGCAGCGGCCGCGGGACGAGGCAAAGGACATGAGGGAGCCGACGCTGAACATGAAGGCGATGGTCAGCAGGCGGCGGAAGGCCAGCGGGTTGCGCAGGGAGGCAAGCGCCGACAGCGCCTGGCGCAGGCGGCCTACCAGCCCCTGGGGAGCGCGCTGGCCGCCCTGCGGGCTGCTGCCGCCCGACGGCGGCTCTAACAAGTTGCTGCTGCTGCTGCTGCTGCTGCCGCCGCCGCTGCTGCTGGGCTGGCTGTCGGCTGCGTCCTCGGCAGCTGGCGGCTCTCCGCTGCCGCTGCCGTTGCTGCTGCCGCTGCTGCTGCTGCTGCTGGCGGGGGGCCCGCTGCCGTTGCTGCCGCCAGCCGCCAGCCGCCGTCGACGTACCGCCGCCTGCCTGCCGCTGCTGCGGGCGGCGCACCAGGGCAGCCCGCCCGTCAGCTGGGGCTGCGGCAGGGCCGCCGAGCGAGCTGGCCTGACCGCCACTAGCCGGGGAGAGGGGGAGAAGCAGGACGCCCTCATGCAGCCGGGCATGCCTGCTGGTTGCGCCCTTCCGCGGTGTGCAACGTTCTACTGGGATCTAATGCACCACAACAGGCCCTCGGACAGGGGGTTTGGTAGGTTGCACGGGTTGAAGGCGCCCAATCCGCACGCCAAGCCGCCTCACGGGGTTCGGATGCCACCAGTTGAGCGTGATCAGGCTCGATGGGGCCATCGAGACCGGCATGCTGCCACTTGGCGCCCACCCTGGACCAGGCTGGCAAACTCAAAAAACAGCTGCCTCCGGTGCAGCCTGCTCTGCAGCCTACAGCCCCGCAACTGCCTGGCGGCCTGCTCTTGTCTCCAGCGCGACACTGTTGCAGACACCCACCATCGCAACGAGTGCAACGCCTCCTGGCCTCCCTGCGCTGCTCGGAGCCTGCTCACGGGCGCAGATCACTTGTGGCAGCGACAGCAGCGCCGCACACCCGTCATGGCCGACGAGGCGGGCCCTTCGGGAGCCACCAAGCCCGTGGACGCCGCCACCCTCGCCGAGGCGGACGCCAAGTTCGAGCGGGGCATCCAGTGCATCCGGGTGCGCCGGCGAAGCGTTGAGCACGGCAGGCGGCCCGCCGCTCCGCCCGACCACGTTGCTTGTTGCGATTCGGTTCCCCCGCTGTCTTGCTGCCTGTGCTGCTGTCCATGATTGCCACCCCCTTCCCTCGCCCCTCACCGCCGTATCGTCGCAGTCCAACGACATTGAGGCGGCGGTGGCGCTGTTCTCTGAGGTGCTGGAGGTCCGCACCCGCCACTACGGAGGTGCGCGGCGCAGGCGTGCAAGCGCGGTCGCCGCCGCATTGCCCTGCCGAACGGTCTGAGCGCCGCTGGCCGCTGTTGCCGCCGGTCCCGCTGCTGCCTCTTCCCCTGCTGCCGCTGCCGATGCTCCCCTCCCTGCCCACCTTGCGGGCCACCAATCGACCTTGCTAGCGCCGGGTGCGCACCCATGCGCAGAGCTGGCGCCCGAGTGCGCCTCTGCCTACTACCGCTACGGTGCGGCGCTGCTGTACCAGGCCCAGGACTCTGGGGACGTGTTTGGGGCGAATGTGGTGAAGGACGGCGAGGAGGAGGAGGAGGAGGAGGCGGGTGCGTGGGGCGGCTAGGGCTGCGGCCGGACGAGTGGCTACCCCGTACAAACTGAGTGGCGCTGGGCAGCTGCCTGTGGCCTGGCATGCTGCGCTTGCGTCGCAGCGGGTGTTTGCAGGCAGCGGGTAGGCGGGCGGGCAGCCAGCGATGGCTCTGCATTCTGCCCTCGCTGCTATACCAAAGGGATGCGGCGCACCAGCGGCTGCCGACCTGGCCTGCCCCCTCTTCCCCCCACCCTGCTCCTGCCTGCAGAGAACAAGGAGAATGGCGGCGACAAGGGCAAGGCGCCCGCGGCGCCAGCCGAGGGCGTCGAGGCCGAGGAGGAGGGCGAGGACTGTGAGCAGCCCGCCGCCACCGCCGCCGCCCTCTCCTTGGCAGCCTGCTGCTGTGGCCAGCCTTGTCCCCAGGGCCATGCAGCACCCGCAGCCTCCCTGCTACCGTCCAGCCCCCCTGCCCCTGCAGCGTACTGCCTATTGCCACATGCTGCACTTCCCACGCATGCCTCACCCCCCGCGCCCTGCTACACCCGACCCTGTGCAGCAGGGGAAGCTGCTGATAACGACCTGCAGCTGGCTTGGGAGAACTTGGAATCGGCCAAGGTCATCTGGGGCAAGGAGGGGGAGGAGGAGCACGCGCAGCAGCTGGCGGGTGCGCGGTGGTGGTGGTGCTGCTGCTGCTGCTGCTGCTGCTGCTGGGGGGGGGGGGGCAAGGTGAGCGCAAGCGGCGTCTCGGCAGCGGGGCCGCCCTTTGCGCTGGGTGCGCCGCCTTTCGCACACCCGGTCGTTTGCACACTCTGCACAGACGCCTGTCGCGCACACTCATACGCCCGCCCCCAACTACACACCTGCAGACGTGCACGGCCTGCTGGGCGAGGTGGCGATGGAGAGCGACGACTTTGAGACGGCGCTGGCTGAGCTGGACGCCAGCCTGGCACACCTCCTCAAGTTTGTGAAGGTGGGTGGGCCACCGAGCGGGCTGCACCACAGCTGCGGAGCGCCGGCTGCCTGCCGATGCGTGCATCGATGCTTGCATCCGCCGCTGCTCGCAGGAGGACGACCGGCGCATCGCAGAGCTGCAGTACAAGCGCTGCAGCGCGCTGCAGTTTGGGGGGCACAACGAGGCGGCGCTGGCGGCGGTGCAGGTGCGGGCGAGGCGGCGGCGGGCTTGGCGTGGAAGTGCTGGGTGGGACGACGATGGCCGGCGCTGGTGGGGAGGCCGCGCTGCTTGTGCACAGCAGCAGGTCATTCCCCCCCAGTTGCCGACAACCTTGCTGCTGTGCACTTGCTGCCACCACCGCCCCGGCACTGCAGGCCGCCTGCGGCTGCCTTGCCAAGCGGCGCGAGGCGCTGGCTGCCAAGCTGGCGGCGCCAGCGGAGGGCGACGACGCTGACAAGCTGAAAGCAGGTGGGTGGGCTGCTGCCGGCGGAGGCGGGAGGGAGCCTTGCAAGCAGGCACCGCAGGCATTGCGGCCTCGGGAATGCAGGGCGCTCCCCATCAGCCCGCCTGCAGCCCGCCGCCTGCCCGTGCCAGCGCCAGTGCCACTCCTCATCCTTCCTTACCTCTCGGCGTGTGCAGAGAGCGAGGATGTGGCGGCGCTGCTGGAAGACCTGCAGGAGAAGGTCACCGAGCTGCAGGTGTGGGGCAGAGGGGGTGGAGGCAGGGGTGCCCTGTGGCTGGCCTGCATCGGCAGGCCGCCCGAGGCCTCGCTCCTGGCTGGCTGGCGGCCAAGTGATGCGGATGCACGGGCCGCCAGTTTCTCCCTGCGCCCACCTTGCCTCTTTGCAGGACCAGGTTGCGGAGGATGCCGCCAAAACGAACATGATCAGGAGCACGCTGATGCAGCTGACGGCGGCAGCCGGCGGCGGCCCGCAGCAGCAGGCAGGTTCCGGCGGTGACACGCTGCAGGCTGCAGGCGGCGGTGGCGGCGGCGGCGTTCAGAACCTGGGTGTGGTGGGGCGCGGCACCAAGCGCATCAACCTGCAGCCGGTGCAGGTGAGGGTGGTGCCGTTTTGTCTGCATGTGCCCCTGTGCCAGGGGCATCGCCTGCTGGTGGGTGTTTCCCTTGTTCCGGCTCACCACGCTGGACCTCACACACCCACTGCTGTGTTTCTGTGCCCTCCCCTCCGATGCAGACCAACGTGCCTGCGGCCGTGGGGGGCGGCGCCGCCGCCTGTGCTCCCGTGGGGGCCGAGCCTGCTGCCAAGAAGAAGCGCAGCCTGGAGGATCTTATGGGTGGGTCCTTGGTGGTGGGGGGAGGTGCTGGCACAGCCTGTGCCTGTTCAAATGGGGAGCTTGTCTCCAGCTGCTCCATGGCCTCATATGCTGCTCGTTTTGTCTGGCATGTTCACCGCTGCGAGGAAATACCTCTGCTGGTATCACAACATCACGGCACTGGTGCGCCTTGCTGCAGGCGGCGGCGGCGAGACAACCATCGGCTTTGGTTCCGCCCCAGCTCCAGCGCCTGCAGCCGCCCCTGCCGCTGCTCAGCCGGCGGCGCCCTCCCCGGTGCCCGCCTTCCTGCAGGCAGCCAGCGTACAGGCGGTGTATGGTGGAGCGGCGGCGGAGCAGGAGTAGGTTGCGTGGGGCGTTCTCGGCGGCTGCCATGCCTGGCGGAGTGCCAAACCAGCCTTCCTGAGTTGTGCAAGGCCAGCAGGGCTGTGGATGGACTCCGTTGCGCTCTTTTTTCTTGCTTTCAATTGCTGTACATTGGTGTGCCCTCCACACCGCTTCTTTAAAGCAAGCTTACTGCCTACATGAACACGCTACTGAGCCGGCGGCTGGCCGGGCCGACTTGGGCAGGTGAGTGCAGAGTAACAGGGCTACTCTGTTGATGATGTTTTCGAGGCGCACCAGTGACGCCTGCCATCTGGCACATCTGTTCGGGTGCAGAAGGAGTAATGTGAGAATCGCAACGCACCAACCGCATCCGCCGCGGCGCACTGTGCCGCTGCTGGCTTTCCCTTTCGCCTCGCCCACATGTGGCCACAGGTGCATTACCTGCATGACTACATGCTGCTGCTGCTGCTGCTGCTGCTGCTGCTGCTGCTCCTGGCCTTCAACATGCACAGACCCGCACTAGCACCGGCCTTGCAAGCGCCGATTCTGGCTACTTCCATTGGAGAATGGCTACTGGAATTGGCAACTGCGTCGTGCTTGCTCGCAATGCGCAGTGATTCTGCAGCACCAAGGCCCTCCGGGCCCCTGCCGGGCCTCCCACACGACCCCCTGGGCTGCATCGCCGAGCTGCTGCCCGTGAGGGACAGGTGAAGGTACTGGCAACACAAGTTTGACCGCGTGGGCCTGGGGCCGAGCGCTGCTGCCAGTACCCCAACCCGCCTGCCCGCTGCCGCCGCCGCCATGCAGGCTGAGCCTGGCCGCCACGTGCACCGGCCTGTGACAAGCCTCACTGACTTGGTTCCCCAAACTCTCTCTGCAAGACCTGCTAGAGGACCCGGCAGAGGCCGCCCTGCTGGCCGCATTCCTGCTTGAGCGCCAGGGTGAGCAGTGCCGGCGCCGCCAGGCCCAAGTGGGTGCACTTTGCGTTCCCCACCCCTGCATCCTCCACTTCCCCAAGGGCCCTCCTAACTGTGTGGTCCTGCTGCGCTGCTGTGCAGCCAAGACGCGCATTGCTCTCTATGCCAAGAACCCAGAGTCGCTGCTGGTGCCCGAGAGGCTGGCTGCACTGCGTTTCGCCCCAGTCATCTCGCTGGAGTGCAGTGTCATCCACACGCCCATGCCGTCAGACTTCCTGTCCGGCTACTCGCGCTTAGTGACGCTTACACTTACAGTGGAGACCATCGAAGGCGACTTTCAGGCCCTGTCGCAGCTGTCGCAGCTGGAGCGTTTGCAGCTGCAAGCTGGCCTGTCGCAGCTGCCGGATGGGCTGTCGCAGCTGACACTCCTGAACCTGTCCTTCAATCTTCCTGAACATCCGATGCGCGGCTGGCAGCACCTGGCACCTCTGACACTTCTGAGGGAGCTTCACGCGCGCCATTGCCGCCTGAGCCAGGTGCCGGCTGCCCTGTCACGGCTGACATTGGTGTCCGTCTTGGATTTCGCCGATAACGAGATAGCGGAAGGCTGGCAGCACCTGGCAGCCATGGAGCGGCTGCCGCAGCTGCACCTACAAGGCTGTCCCATGTGCAGGCTGTCCCATGTGCCCTCAGCCTTTTCCCGGCTCACAGCGCTTTGAACCTCTGCTGCGACGAAGTCCAGAGCGGCTGGCGGCACTTGACCCCACTGTTAAGGCTGGAGGAGCTCACGCTGCGGGCGCGGCGGCAGCTCCCTGACGTGCTGGAGCAGCTGACAGCTGTCAGCTCGCTGGAGATCTATGGCCTTGGCACCATACTGGAGAGCGGGTGGCAGCACCTGGCGCCCCTAACATGCTTGCAGCACCTTTTCCTCCACAGGTGCCTGGATCTGGAGCTGCCGGCGGTGCTGTCGCGCCTGACAACAATCACCAGCCTGTCCATCGGTGACGCCCCTGAATTGTACGATGGCTGGGAGCACCTGCCGCAAGCCTCCCTACAGCGTCTTTGTTTAGAGGAAGTCTCTGGAGCAGACGAAGTTCCCGGTTCGTTCTCTCGCCTGACGGCCCTCACCAACCTGGCGGTCCGTGGCTGGGATTTTGACGGCGGCGGCATGCACCACCTCTGGCCCCTCCAGCGGCTGCTGCACTTGGAATTGGTGGAATGCGGGCTGACAGAGGTGCCACGGGAGCTGGCGCGGTTGTCGGGGCTCACCAGCCTGGACCTTTCTGAAAACGAGTTTGAAGGCAGCTGGCAGCACCTGCTGCCCCTGGCACATCTTCGCAACCTGACCTTGACAGGATTCGCTCCTCCACAAGTGGAAGCTCTGCAGCAGCGGCGAGGCCTGAACCTAATTATTGAAAGGGAGGAGGAGGCGGAGCATGAGACGGAGGAGGAGTCCTCCTCCTCGGAGGAAGATGAGGGTGGAGGGGGCCCCTTGATGTGATGGCGTTATTTTTCTTTGTTGATTTGGTCTCTTGCAAGTTTCTCAATTCAATGGCAGACAGAACAGCATGCTGACATGACCACAGGGGAACAACATTGTCATTGCCTCTTGCTGCCGCCTCCCTGCCGCTGCCGCTGCTGCTTGGCTTTGCCGCGCCGCCTCAGCTGCTCAAACGCCTCAGCATCCACCGACGCCGCCGTTCCTCCCGTTGACAGCGGCTTGACAGCTACCCCCACCGCATGCGGGTCGGTTCCCTCCAGCGTCGCATCCCACTGCACAAAGTCCCAGCCGCCGTACTGCTGCACCGCCTCCACCGCCGCCGGGTCTGCAGCAGACTCGGGCAAGGGGCCGAGCGGGCACGGGAGACGGGCAGACAAGGTCGTGGCCTGCTTCCGCAGACCTCTGCAGAGCAGAGCAGCATGCTCCCCGCTCGGCAAGAACAGCAGGCCAGGCGAGGGTCACAACCCACCTGCGCCGCCGCTGCCCACGAGAAGCAGCTGCAGGGGGCCGCCGCGCAGCCGCTGTATGAAGATGAGCGTGCCGCCGGGCTTGAGCACGCGGTACACCTGTGTGGGATCACAAGGCGGTACAGGTGGTGAACAGGCAGCGCTGGGCTGTGTTGCGTTGTGATGGCAGCCGGCATCCGGCAGAGACGGTTCAGAGCAGCAGCTCCCGATTGAAGGGCTTCTCGCAAAACAGGATGTGCCCGGGTGGCGGGCGGCAACGACGACTCCAGCCCACCAGCGCACCCACCTGCGCCAGCAGCTGCTGCATGTCTCCCCACTGCTGCATCTGGTTCACCAGCACGATTGAGTCTGCTGTGCTGCCCGCCTGCGACGACAGCACCTTCTGCGCCGAGCAAAGCAGGTGGCCGCGGGGAGGCGGTGGTTTGGGAGAGTGCACCTGGTCAGCACACAAACCACCGGCAGCGGGGAAGCTGGGCGGGCACACCAGCAACGCCTGGCGGGGGGCGGTGCGGAGGCCGGCAAGGCCAGGCGTGTTCAGGCAGCGGGGGTGAGGAGCAGCAGGATGCCCTGGCTGCTTGCTTGCCTGCGACTCAGCCTTGACCGCGACCACCGGCACCTTGGCCTGGATGCCGCCCTGCTCCCACAGCCCTGCATCGCACCAACAGGATGGCGCCCAGGCAGGCAGGCAGGCAGGCAGAAGGGACAGTCAGAGGGCAGCCGCTACCGCTGCACGCCTGCTCAGAGGCAGCACCCACTCGGCAGCAGCACAGCGGGGCAGAGGCAGCACAAGTGTGGGGGTGTGAGGCGCTGGGTAGGCTCGAGTAGCCGGCCGCACCAGCCCACCCCATGCACGCCGGCATGCCCATGCCGGCGGCGCACCTGCGTTGATGTCTGCGCCCCCCACCGTGACCTGGACCGTGCCTTGGGGATAGTAGTAGAGGTCGCGGGTGGAGCCGCCCAGCTGCAGAGCGGGAGGCAGGCAGGCAGGCAGGCAGGCAGCGCGCACAAGGCGTCAGGCAATGCAAGGAGCCTGGGGCAAGGCAGCACGTCGGCTGACCTCCTCCGCTCTGTGGCGGCAGCAGCTTCCCTCCTTCCACTCACCCACTGTGCACACACCCTACACACACATAAAGTCCACGCGTGCAGGCTCATGGAATCTCCGCCCAGCCCACCGCCTGCATGGTCCCACCTGCAGCACGCGTGCGCCGCCGGATCTGACGTGGCGTGCCAGCATGGCGGCGGTGATGTACTCCAGCTGGCTGTACCCGCTCACGCGCAGCGCAGCCACGCTGCAGGGGGCGCGGAGGGCGAGAGGGGTTAATCAGTGCGAGGGGAGAAGGAGCAAAGAGGTGCCTCAGGGCAGTCGTCAGGAGGGCGCTAGAGCAGAGGTGGGTCTCACCCTGCGAGCGCCAGGCCCAGCCCGGCAGGCAGCGACCAGGCGGGGAGGCCGCCGTCTGTAGCAGCAGTGACTGCCGCGGCCGCGTCAGCCAGCACTGGCGGCAGGAGTGGCGGGAGCGCGGCCGCCGCCGGAGGCGCGGCCCGCCGCCGACGCTGCCAGCAGGGCGGTGCCGACGGCAGCTTGCAGCCTCCAGCCGGGTGCTGGGTGCGCCTGGCTGCCGGATAGCAGCAGGCAGGGCCCTGGGGGAGGGTCTGGGGGATCATGGCGCTTGTGAGGAGGGCCGGTCACAGGGCTGGGGGTCAGAAAGCATGGGCACACAATGGTGGCAAGGCTGCGATCAATAGAAGGGGTCTGGGGGTCTGCACTTAGCACTTGGGGCCATGCATTGACAGCGTGGCGCGGATGTGGTTCCGATAAGGCGTGCCGCCGAATGCCGTGGGTGGTGCAGTGCAGCCATCGCCCAGCCCATCTGCATCTGTTCCTACACGTCTGCCGGCCTGCCGCTCCGGCCAGAACACCCAACTCGCGCTCGCAGCACTCGGTGTGCTTGGCTGGCCTCAAGCAGATTGCTTTGGGCACCGTCACCGGCCCCCAATCATCCCGGCCGGGTGCAGCGTCTCGACAAGCCCCGCCATGCAGACCGCAACTTGCTGCAGCCGGGCCCACGCCCCAGAGGCGTCGTTCAGCGGCAGACGCCTGGAGGCGCGCCCCGGCAGCCAATTGCGGTTGCCCGCGCGCCACACGGGCCGGGCCGGCAGGTGCGCCTGCGGAGCGGCCCAGGCGGCCACCTCCTCTGCACCGCGGCCCTCTCCTGTCCTCCACTCCTGCTGCCATGATCTCCACATGCCTTCTTTCCTGGTCCCGTTCCTGCAGGCTCCAGCTGCGATCCCAGGCGCTGCTTATGGAGCTCGACCTGCCGGCGGCGGTGGCCGGCCTGCAGGACGTGCTGCCGCCCCTGCACGCCGCCTCCGCCTCTGCCGCCGCCTCTGCCACCCACCTGCACGCGAGCGGCGCCGCCGCCGCGCTGCACGGCGACCAGCTGCAGCAGCTGCTGACGCTGGGGGACGCCGCGGCGCAGCGCATCGCCGACCTGGCTGACGCGGCGGCGGCGGCGGCGGGCGACGCGGGCGCCGCGGCGGGCGCCGCCAAGAAGGACAACGGCTGGCTGCAGCCGCTGGTGACGGGGCTGGAGACGGTGCTGACGTTCATCGAGGTGGGCGGCGGCTGTGGGGGGTGCAGCGGTGGTGGTGCCGGTGGTGGTCGCGCGCTTGTGATGTTCAGGCTCAGCGGAGCGGATGGGCAGCCAGGGGCGGGCCCGCGCCTGCGCTCTCTGCCTCAATCCACTGGCCCCACCCCCTCCAGCGCCAGCCCCGGCCCCGGCACCAGCACCTTGACCATGACTAGCACTGACAGCCACCACCGCCTTACCACCCCCGTGCAGGACGGCCTGGTGCGGGTGGGCGTGCCTTACTCGTACGGTTGGTCTATCGTCGCCCTCACCGCCCTCATCAAGCTCGCCACCTTCCCGCTCACCAAGAAGCAGGCGAGGCCGGGGCCCGGGCCGCCCGCCCCGTTTCGCCCCTGCCTGCCGCCACGCGTCGCGGCGCGCCTCCCGGACCTCATCCCCGCCCTTGCACCAGCCGTGCACCGCCCGCACATCTCCCCTCCAGCCCACACACCCTGACAACACCCGCAGCTCCCGCCCTGCCCCCCCTGCAGGTGGAGAGCGCGCTGAACGTGCAGCGCCTCAAGCCCCAGATCGACGCCATCAAGGAGCAGTACGGCGACAACAAGGATGCGGTACAGCGGGAGACGAGCGCGCTGTACGAGAAGGCGGGGGTGGACCCGCTGGCGGGTGGGTGGGTGTGGGGGCTGGGGGCTGGGGGCTGGGCGGGATGCGGGGCGTGAGGGGTTGGGGCTGGCCCTGGACTGGGTGCGAGGGTTGGTGCTGCTGGGGTGTGGGCAGTTTGGAGGGCCTGCGTGCTGGCGGCACCAAAGGTGTTGCCCTTGGCTTTGGTGGTGTCATGGGCCAGGAGCGGGTGGGGCCGTCTGCAGCATTACCCCTCCCCTGCAACCTGCCCACACGCGGCCCGCGCCCCGCCGCCGCCCCGCCCCGCAGGCTGCCTGCCCTCCCTGGCCACCATCCCCATCTTCATCGGCCTCTACCGCTCCCTCTCAGACTTCTCCACGCAGCAGGAGGCGGGGTCCGCGGGTGAGCGACCCGGCTGGCTGCGCCTGCGCCTCGTGTAGTGTGTGTGTGTGTGTGTGTGTGAGTGTATGTGTGTGCGCGGCAGCGCCGTGTGGTGTTTGGATGTTTGCCTCAGAGGGCCTCCCTGCGCGCCCGGCCCTCACCCTGCACGCCACACCCACACGCGCCACGCCCCCGCGTCCCCCCACCCTCCCCCAGCCTTCTACTGGATCCCCTCCCTGGCGGGGCCCACCAGCGTGGCGGCGCAGAAGGCCGGCTCTGGCACCGCCTGGCTGCTGCCGCTGGTGGATGGCGTGCCGCCCATCGGCTGGGACCTCGCCTCCCGTTACCTGGCCCTCCCCGTGGCGCTGGTGATCGCGCAGGCAAGGCCGTGGGCTGTGGCAGCCTTGCTGCTGGTTCTTGGCTGCCGCTGGCCCGTCAGCCACGTCGCCGGGCTGTGCGGCGGGACCATGCGAGTGCCGCGCGTGCGCATCCATGACACCCGGCAAATGCTCGCCCTCGCTCCCCACCGCTGCGTGCTCCCCACCGCTGCGCTGACTGTGCTGTACCGCGGTACCGCCCCCGCCCCTCCTGCAGTACATCAGCAACGCCATCATCACGCCCCCACAGACCGACGACAGCGGCGCCGCCAAGTTCACCCAGAACCTGGTCAAGTGAGTTGCGGCGTGCTACAGCCCTGTGCTTGTGTGTGCCGTGGTGCAGTGAACATGGAGAAAGCAGCCGCGGCAGCGGCGCTCCCCGGCTGGGAGGCCTCGCACGGGCGATCCAAAAGCCTGCGGTTGCCTGCCCAGGCAGTGAGTCCGCAGGCAGTGCCACGCCGCGCCGCCTACCCCCAACCCTGGCTCCTCCCCCCCCCATCCCCCCCGCAGGGTGCTGCCCCTTATGATTGGCTGGTTTGCGCTCAACGTCCCCGCCGGCCTCTCCCTCTACTACTTCTCCAACACCGTCTTCACCACCGCGCAGCAGGTCTACCTCAAGAAGCTGGGAGGTGCGCCGCCCCCCGCCGGGCCCGCCGCGCACTTGGATATAGCCCGCTGCGCAGCCGAGCCGGTGCATGCTCTGGTGCGGCTGGCGGCCGCGGAGGTTGCGCAGCACGCCTTTGAGGTGAAGGCATCAAGGCTCCAGCCTGCCTGCCCAGTTGGGCAGGCCCCAGGAGCCCGCCGCTGACCTGCGCCTGCGCCGTGGCCTGCTGACCTGGCGCAGGCGCCAACCTGGCGGAGTATGACCTGGGCCCCATCGAGCTGGGCAAGGCCAGGCGCACAGGCACCGTGGCCGCCAGCATGGACGAGGCGGCGGCGGGCGAGGGCGCGGCGGAGGCGGCGGCGCTCGCCGACCAAAACGGCGCCGCCGGCAACGGCGGCGGCGCGGCGGCTGCTGGCGAGGAGGGCGACGCGGGGCAGCTGGCGCTGGCGGCGGCCGCCGCCGCGCCCGCAGTGCCTCAGATCAGCCGGCGCTGCAAGCGGCGGCGGCGCGAGCTGCTGGAGTCGGCAGCCTGATGAGGCGCACCGCCCACGTGCATGGAGCTCCGCAGTCCCCAGCCCCCATCCTACTGTTTGCGGCCTTTCTTTGATCCCTGCTGGCCTTTCTGTAATCATCCAAACGCGACCCACAACCACCGACCACGTGGCGCAAGGAGAGTCACCGTTGGAACGCATTACATTGCAGCGGGGCTGCGCTGCATCGAGAGCAGTGGTGCACAGGCCGGCGCAGCAGGGATTCTCCCAGCGCGCGCACCCATGCGCCGTGCGCGCGTCACTTTGGCGCCTCCTGCTGCTGCTGCTGCTGCTGCTGCTGCCGTACCAGCTCCGCCTTGAGCCGCTGGCTGAAGTCGTCGGCGATGTTGTCGTCGTCCCAGTCCTGCTCCCACAGGTGCTGGTTCTTGGGGTCCTCCTGCCGCGAGTCCCAGTCTGCGGGGCGCAAGGACCGGGGGCACTGGTTGGAAGGGCCAGGTGTGACAAGGGATGTGCTTGGAGCGCAGCAGGGAGCGGCGGCGGACGCGGGCTGAGAGGCAAGATGGGGTTGGGGCGGCCCACGGCCCCAACATGCCACAGGCCGGTGCGTGGTGCCTAGGAACACGCCATCCAGCACCAAGAAGTGGGGCAGAGAGAACAATGAGCTCCCCCGCTGTCTGCTGCATCCATCCACCCGCCGCGCCACCCGCCGCCGCCCCCGCTCGCCCGCCCCCTGCGCACCTTCCACCTCAAACTCCTCGAACTCGTCCTCCTCCACAATCTGCTCCTGCCGCTTCACGGTCTCCTGCTGCGGCTGCGCCATTGCTGGTCCAGTGCAGGGCGGGCGGCGATGGCGATCAGGGGGCTGGAGCAGCAGAGTGGGGTCCAGGGGTCGCCCGGAATGATGGCCGAGAGGCCTGGAGCGCCTGATTGAGCCCACTGGCCCTGCCTTCTTCCCGTCCCCTGCTGACGCTGGCGCGTCACCCCCATGCGCCCCGACCAACCCACCCCGGCCATTGAGGCGTTCGCAGCAGGCAGCCGGCCACCGCCGTCAGTCGCTCAGCCGCTCCAGGCGTTTCACCTGGCGTTTGCAAACGGCTGCCCGCTCCCTGCGCGCTCCCATGGATGGCCAGCCTTGATGGACGCGCTCAAGAAGATAACGGGCAAGCGCAGCAGCAGCGACGCAGCGACAGAGGCAGCGACCGGATCACGGAGGGAGGTGGGTGGCGCTTCCTAGGGCTTGCTGGCGGCCTTGCTGCGGTTTGGTGTGTAGAGAAGTGGGCGCTGGGGGCGGGGGGACTGTGCGTGGGGGTGACCCTCACCCCGCCGACTCGCCGGCGCTACTCGCCGCACCCCGCCGCTGCCTGCTCCGCCTGGCACGCAGGTGTCGTCCGCCAGCAACCAGCGGGCGACCGCTGAGGTGCAGCAGCAGTTCAAGGAGCTCACGCTCTCCCCGGCGCAGCGCGAGGGCAAGGAGCCTGTGTTTGAGGGGCGGGTGACAGGTGCGCAAGGGGCAGGCGGGACACCGTGGTGCACCCAGCAGCAGCCTGGCGGCAGGCAGCGCAGCGGCAATGCAGCCGATGAGCACCCATGCAGCAGCCTGTACCGCTCTGTCAGGCAATGAGTCGGCTGTTGGATGGGCAGGCAGGCTGCACATCTCGGCCCAGGCATGCCGTCCATATGTGCCTCGTGCCTGCATCCGGGGCTGGAGGCTGTGGGGCAGGAGGCGCACACTCGGGCAGCCGCAGCGCAGCGCACACCTTACAACGCGCCACCAGCTTGCATGGCCTGCACGCTGCAGCACGGCAAAGCAGCAGCGGCATGCGGGCCGCCCTTGCCGCCGTGCAGACCCACCATGCACATGCCTGCATTGCTCTGTCTCCTACAGGGCCGTGCCTCCCACCCATCACCCGCTGTGTGATTGCCATCCCACCCTCTGACCGCCCGCGCGCTCCGCCCGCCTGCCTGCCTGTGCCTGCCCGTGGCGCAGAGGGTGACCCCAACAATGTTGGCCACGTGATCACCACCGCTGGAGGCAGTGGCGCCTCCAAGCAGGTCATCCGCTACCTCACGGAGCGGGTGGTTGGCAATGGCTCCTTTGGGGTGGTGTTCCAGGCCAAGTGCATAGAGACAAGCGAGACGGTGCGCCGCCGCGCTGCCGGCCCACCTGCGCCGCCACGGCTCAGAAGCTGCTGTATGTGGGGGCTGGCGGGCTGGGAATGCGGGGCATGTGGGCATGGACAGCTGCCAGCTTTAGGAAGGCAGCGGTGCTGCTGGTGCGGAGGCGCCCGTCTGCTGCCCCACCATTGCCCTGGCGGCCGCCTCCCTGTGTCCCTGCCTGTGGCCTCACACCTGCCTGCCCCGCCCCCTCCCCTGCCCCGCCCCGCAGGTGGCCATCAAGAAGGTGCTGCAGGACAAGCGGTTCAAGAACCGCGAGCTGCAGATCATCCGCATGATGAGCCACCCCAACATCGTGCAGCTCAAGCACTGCTTCTACACCACCACCGAGAAGGACGAGGTGGGGTGGGGTGGTGGGCAGGGGCTGGGGCGGGCCAGGTGCTGGACTGGGCAGGCGGCAGGAAGGGTGCTTGCGGCAGCAGGAGGTGGGGGCGGCATGCAGAGCGGAGGGCCGGCCGCAGTGGATGGGTGCGAGGCGCCACGAGGCGGGGGCGGGCGGGCGCGTGATCGCGTGGCGTGCTGCCTGCGTGGCGCCACCCGTACCGCAGGTGTACCTCAACCTGGTGCTGGAGTACGTGCCCGACACGGTGTACCGCATCAACAAGCACTACACCAAGAACGAGCAGCGCATGCCCATCATCCTAGTCAAGCTGTACACTTACCAGATGCTGCGCGCGCTGGCGCACATACACTCCATCGGAGTGTGCCACAGGTGCGTGGCGCCGCCCTGCCAGCCACGGGCAGGGCGGCGACGGGGACGGATGGAAGCGGTGGGTGCAGGCTCGGGCTGGCAGACCAGCAGGGGGTGGCAGGCGAGGGCTGGCAGGCTGCCATGAAAAAAGCGCGCCGCCCCATGCGTAGCCTCGCCCCTCTCCAAGCACACGTGCACGCCCTCGCTCGCCGGCCCCGCAGGGACATCAAGCCCCAGAACCTGCTCGTCAACATCAACACCCACGCCCTCAAGCTCTGCGACTTTGGCTCTGCCAAGACGCTGGTCAGGTGCGGCGAGGCAGGCCTCTCGGGGCGCCAGCCAGCCGCTGGCCGGCAGGCACCCCCGGTGGCACAGTGCCATGCCCCCACTTCAGCCATAAGGAGGGTGGGGAAGGGGGGGTGCAGCCAGATGCTGGGATGCCCAGGAGCTGCCGGCCAGCCTCGGCACCCGCCACCTGCACAGCGCAGCACGTTGCCGCCACCGAGCAATGCGTCACGCCGCCCGCTGCCGCCCGCCGTGTGGCGCAGGGGCGAGCCCAACATCTCGTACATCTGCTCCCGCTACTACCGCGCACCTGAGCTCATCTTTGGGGCCACAGACTACACCTGTGCCATCGACGTGAGGAGGGTTAACATTGGGTTATTGGGCGTGTGTGTGTGGGAGGGTGGCTTGCGTGCCTGCATGCTGCCTGCGGTCCTGGCTGCGCTCTGGCCACCGCAGCTGCTGCAGCGTCTGGGCGAGCGCGCGCGGCGGCATCCATGGCCGCTGCCGCCGCCACGGCGGCCTGCATGCGGGTGTGGCGCTCGCGCCCCGCGGCCGACGCTGCGCCTGGCGGCTAACCGCGTGCGCAGGTGTGGAGCGTGGGGTGCGTGATGGCTGAGCTGCTGCTGGGCAGCCCGCTGTTCCCCGGGGAGAGCGGGGTGGACCAGCTTGTGGAGATCATCAAGGTATGTGTGTGGAAAGGGGAGGGGGGGAGGGCTGCTGGTCATGTTGAGGTCATGCGGCGGCGGGAGGGAGAGGCGGGCGTGTTGCAGCGGCGGTGGAAGCGGGAGTGTGGCAAGAGGGTGGGCAGGCCATCGAGCACGCGGCTGCATTGGACGCCTCCTGCAGACTCCCCCTGCCCTTCGCCCTGCACACCGGCTCTCCCTGGGCCCCACCGCACGCCTGCCCTGTGTCCCTGCCACAACATGCAGGTGCTGGGCACCCCCACCCGCGAGGAGATCCACGCCATGAACCCAAACTACACGGAGTTCAAGTTCCCGCAGGTGTGTGCGTGTATGTGTGTGTTGGTGGGTGTGGAGCCTCAAGGAGAGGAGCTGTTGGGGAGCCGGTAGCAGGGATGGGTTGGACTTGTATGGGCAAAGATGCGAGGTGTGGACAGAGGAGCAGACGGCGCCGAGGCGACCTTGCCGGCCCCCCAACCCTGCCCTGCCGGCCCCTGTCCCCCACCCCTTACCCCCCGCCTGCGCATCAGATCAAGGCGCACCCCTGGGCCAAGGTGTTCTCCAAGCGCATGCCCGCAGACGCAGTCGAGCTGGTGAGGCGGGCCGCTGGGGGTGGCAGGGGGGTGGCTGGTGCCAGCAGGATGGCGCCGGCCAAGTGGCGCGCGCTGCCCTCCCTACCCTGCACCTCCTGCTGCTGCTCTTCTGACTGCTCCCTTCCCATGCGTTCCACACCGGTCGGGACCGCTGCCTGCTTCTGCCCCGGCCTGCCCAGCCCGCCTGGCTGCCCCTGTGCCTCACCTCTGCGCCCGCCTCCCGCTGCCCGCCCACGCTGCCCGCCCGCGCAGGTCAGCAAGCTGCTGGTGTACAGCCCCGCGCAGCGCTCCACCGCCCTCGACGCCCTGCGGCACGCTTTCTTCGACGAGCTGCGCGACCCGGCCTGCCGCCTGCCAAACGGTGAGCGGAGGGCACATGCGCCCGCTGTGTGCATGCCGCTCAGCCCTGTTGGGGTGTTGGCAGGCAGACGGGCAGCGCTGCTGGGCGGCGAGCTTAGCAGGTGGTAGGCGACAGCGAAGGGTGGACGGGAGGGCGCCGGCTGCTGCCTGCCAGGCTGCGGCCTGGTGCTGTGGCTGCCTGCAGTGATAGGAGGCCGGCGACGTGGCCTGCGCCCCTGCCGGAGGCTCCTGGGCCTACAGCCGCCCTTGCTGCGACGCCTGCCTGACCCCGCCTCACCCCCTGACCCCCCGCAGGCCGGCCGCTGCCGCCGCTGTTCAACTGGATTGACGGGGAGCTGCAGCAGGCGGCCCCGGAGCTGCAGGCGGCGCTGCAGCCGCGAGCGCCAGCAGCAGCAGCCGCGTCCCAGCCGTAGGGAGCGCCTTACCAGCTTGCCGGCATGTGGCCGCCCCAGGCGCCAGCCAGCCAGGGCCCTGCCGGGTGATGCGGCCAGGCTGTCCGATGGCACCAGCGGCCCCCGCTGCCGCCGTCCGTGGAGCGCCGCTGCAGGGTCATGCAGCCCATGCGAATTGGCGGCGCCCCACTAGGAGTTAGGCTAGGATTCCACTGCAAATCAGTTCCACCTTCTGCTGCGGAGCCCCCTCACTGCTCTCCTCCCCGACCCTCCCCCCTTTTGCCTCCGCTCGCTACCCCTCCTCTCCTTCCAGCTGTGTTGCTCCTCTCCCCGGCGCTCTTCTTGGTCTCGTCAGTCCTGTGCCCTCGTCTGCCGTCTGTGTGGTGCCCGCCCCCAACGTGCCCGTGCCTGGGATTTTCTCTGTTGCCGCCTCTCCTCTGTTTGCCACCCACCGACCAAAGACGGCTCCACCGCGCTGGCTCGACAACACAGCCACTCGCTCTGTAACTAGCTGACTTCGGGAGTCTTCAGGCACAGCTGCTTCGGATCCATAGGCAGGATGGATCCCGCCCGCCTGGCGTCCGGTGCCGCCACATGTGCCTCCGCCATCCATACCCAATGCGATAGGCGCTGCACCCGCATTATTTCGAGAGCCCTGTCACCATGCGTGAGGTCAAACTCCTAACCATCACCGTGACCACCGCTTCCGGGCACGGGGTGAGCTCTCGGAAACCCGCACAGGGTGTCGGCGGCGCCTGCTGGACATAAATGGATGCCAGCCGGCTGTCCGCAGGCATCTAGTGATTGCCCCGGCCACGCCCACGCCGGCCGACACAAACCCCTCTTCTCCGCCGCTGCTCCGCTCTCCGCCACCTGCGCACGTGTACCCGCAGGTCCACGCCCTGCTCCCCTCGGAGCCCTGCTACTGCACCGTGGAGGTGCCCGGCAACAGGAAGCAGACCGGTTTTGGGAGGGCAAAGGTAGGGCAAAAGTCAGCGGCGCGTTTGCAGCGTCTCGCCCAACCAACAGCCCTGCACGGACCGAATCCTTCTTTACCAAATCCTTTGTTTCCTCCCCCTCACACAGGCCGGCTCCAGCGCATGCCAGTGGGACGAGGCGCTTGATTTCGAGTACGAGGGAGGCACGCCCAAGGCGCTGCACGTGGAGGTGAGCGGGGGGCTCTGCGGCCAGCCTGACGCCGCCACCGCTGCTGCTGTTGTGCCACCCGCTGTGCGCCGCTGGGGCGGCTGCCAGGCCGTCAACCTTGGGCCCGCGGGGCGCTATCACAAGTGGCATGCCCCGCTTGGGGTGGCCCGCTGCGCTCACCAGGCAGCCTCCACCTGCTGCTGGGCCTGCTCTTCCCCGGCGCCCCCTGCAGCTGCACGGCCAGCTGGCGCACGGCGCGGACGACCTGGTGGGTGCTGGGGATGTGGACCTGCATGAGGTGAGTGGCTGGTGGCGCGGGGCCATGGTTGGGGTGGGAGAGACACTTGCGGTGGGCTGGGCATGCATGGGTACAGGGCAGCAGGCGCTGGCAGCCAGGTGCTGCTCCTGTGCTGCAGCGCATGCTGGCAGGCCTGATCCGCTGCCGGGCTGGCCTGCCGGGGCTGGGCTGGCGCAGGTGCTGGAGCGTGGCACGAAGCAGGTGGTGGAGGTGCCGCTGACCAAGGGGGGGCGGGAGCTGGGCGCTGTGGAGCTGTGCATACAGCACACAGCCATGCCCGGTGCCAAATGAGCGGCACGGGCGCTACACGGCTGCCGCGGTAGCTGGCTGCAGTGGTAGCTGGCGGCAGCGGCGCAAAGCACCCATATCAAAATGGATCAGCCAACAGTTGGCCGGCACCGTACCCGCTGCCCCTAAACCCTGTTTTTTCCGCTCTGTGATGATGCTCGCCCCCCGAGTGTTACTTTTGAGCGCATGTTGCAAATTTTCATCGTGTGATACATGTGATGCAGTGCATTCCCTTTACAAATGTGTATTTTTTCTCTAATCAGCCATTCCCTGCAGCCAGGGGCAGGGAGCAAGGCAGCGCACACGCCAACGCGCTCAGGCCGTCAGGGCGATACCGACGCTGCCGCCGGCCAGCTGCCTGCTCCCCGGGCCCCTCCTGCCGCCTCTGCCAGCTCCGCCGCCACCTCTGCCGCGGTGCGCTGCCTGCAGTAGCCGGCCACGGCGGCCAGCGAGGCTGCCTGGCGCTGGGGGGAGTAGGTGGCGCAGGCGTCTGTGACCAGGGTGACGAGGTATCCCAGGTCGCAGGCATCCCGTACCGCATGCTCGACACACTGGTCTGCAGGCACAGGTGGGGCGCTGGCCGTCATTGCTGGTGGAAAGCGGGAGAGGAGGTGGGCGGGCATAGGGCAGGGAGGGAGGCAGCAAATTGTTTCATTCGCATGCAGCCGGCGGCAGGGCGCAAGCTGGTGTGCGCCCACCTGTGACGCAGCCGCACAGCGCCAGCTGGCGCACGCCCAGGTTGCGCAGCAGGTAGTGCAGGCTGGTGGACTGGAAGACGGAGCTGCTGGTCTTGGGCAGCACAATCTCGTCGGGGCCCGGCTGGATGCAGCCCAGCATCTGCTTGGTAAGAAGCGGGCAGCGGATTAGGCAGGATGGCAGCCAAGGAGGCTCTCAAGGAGGCAGCCCTGCCAGCCTCTACTGCAGCTGCTCGGCTGTCCTTCCGTCGCCCGCTGCCGGCGCAGCCTGCCCTGCCGTTCCCACGGTTCACCATGACATCAGTGCACCCTGCCTGTGGCCCGCACCTGCGCGTCCCAGCTGCCTGGCGGCACGTGGAAGCCCGAGAGCTTGTAGTCCAGGCTACGGTCCCGCCCGTCGGCTGTCAGGCTCTGTATCACTGTGTACAGTACCTCCACGCCTGCTGCCCTGCATGGTACGCGAGGAGTGAGGTCTGGGGTGTGGGAGAAGGGGAGGAGGGGGAGCAGAGGAGGCAGGCCGTGCGGCCAGGCATTCAGTGGGGCGGCGGCGGCCCACCTGCAGGCCTGCTGCAGGCTGGCCCACAGCGGCGTGCACTGCTCCACCCGCTGCATGAAGTGGCGGACGTCCTCGCTCTGTGGGAAGGCAGGGAAGCCGCCAGCTAGCTCAACTGATGGCGCGACTGCGACATAGCTAAATCCACAGAAGCCCAGCTTGCCCGGCCGGCTGTAGGCAGGGCCAGGCCGCCGACAACCGTGCACGCAGGCCTGCTCCCTGCTGCCCTGGCCCGGGGCACCTGCTGCTGCTTGGGCGCCAGGCTGCGGTAGATGGCGCCCTGGCGGCTGCAGTTGTAGTTCTGGACGTCGATGAAGAGCAGGGCAGCGGCGGCGGGGTCCAGCGCCGCCTGCCGCCCCTCCGCCTGCGGCCAGTAGTACGCCATGGCGCCGCGGCTGGAAATTGGATGGCTTAATCGATCCGCAGGTGGCTTGGTGTGCCCTTGCAAGCCGGCAGGGAGCAGAATGGCAGCGGAAAACAGGGAAACAGAGGAGGGATTCGCAGGTTTTCGCCTGGAGGCCCTGAGGCGGTGCAGACAGAACCGGTGATGCGCAAGGATTGTGCCGAGATCGATCTGCCCTGTGTTGAGCGCCTGCCCAGCTGGCATCCGCCACGTCGGATCGTCAAGACCTCCTGAAGCGCCTGGGCCTCTGGGATGCCACCAGCATCGCTATTACAACGTTGACAAGTCTGCGGAGCCCTGCACAGCCTCCTAGCCAGCCATCACCTGCTGCTCCGCACCGTTTCCAGCCCCCGGCACCTCACATCTGCTCACACCGACTGTAAGGGATCAACCAGTAGCGATGGGACGTAGCAGGTGCGCTGCCCGCGACACGGCGAACCCATCTGGGCCGTTTTTCTGCTGTGGTGCGCTGCTGAGGCGCCCCTGCAACTGTCCTCCACCTGCAGAAGCCGCAGCAGAAGCCGTGAACGGCGGCGGGAGCGCAGCAGGAGCAGAGAGCGGCGGCGACCGCGCAGCCGCAGCCGGGAGCTGCGTCGAGACAACCGGTAAGGCCTGCTTCATTGCCATCGGGCCTACCTGGGTACCCCCACTGCTCATGCTGTTCCTCAATGCCTTGTTCCTCCCCACCCTGCCCGCAGGCGACGGTCACCCATAGGCCGGGAGCAGCGGCGGGAGCGCAGCCGGGAGCGGGACCGGCCGCCGCCGACGCGGGATGATATTCATCATCGGGACGGACCACGCGAGCGGGGACGTGATGGCAGCCGGGAGCGGGACCAGCGGGAACATCGAGAGCAGCAGGACCAGCGCGCAATGCCGCCGCCGGCGCCGCGGGGGCCCGGACCATGCTTCAAGGCACGCTCGCACGCTGCCCTGTGCTTGGGCCGCCTGGGCCGCCGCTGCCGCCGCTTGGCCGTTGCATTTGTTGGCCTACAGCTGCTGCCGGGCGATGGCACCGCTGCCTGTCTGTGGCAGGTGCCTCTCGGCGTGCTGAGGCAATGGCTGGGGTGGTGGCAGCCTGTTCTTTGCTGATGTGCGCCGCCTGCCACTGTGCCTGGCCCACCTCTGCCTGCAGTGTGGGGAGGAAGGGCACATCGCCCGGGACTGCCCCACCGCGCCGCCCGGAGGCGGCGGCGGCGGCAGGGGGCCCTGCTACAAGGTGCGCCTCCGCCACGGCGGCTCTGTCCGCGCGGGCATCATCGCCGGCTGGTGCCCGCAGCAGCATCACCTGCAGCGGCCGTGGGCTGGGTCCTGTCGAAGGCACCCTGCTTGCCGAGCTGACCCTGCCGCTATGCCTCCCCCTGGCTGCCTGCAGTGCGGGGAGGAGGGGCACATCGCCCGGGACTGCCCCAACCCAGAAGCCCCCGGCGGCGGCGGCGGGCCCAGGTGCGGCCGCTTTCTTCCCTGCCTTGGCAGCCACAGAGGCAGCCGGCGAGCATGCTGCCAACCTGCCTGTGGCCAGCAGTTCGCCATTGTCATTTGTGCTAACAGTAAACTAGCGAGCGTTTTATAGATGCCTGCCCTGACTGCGCTCTAGCCTGCTGTCGCGGCGGGCGCGTGCAGGCGGCGGCGGGGCGGCGGCGAAGGCGGCGAGGAGAACATGGCGTGGGGGAAGCCCGGGGAGCAGGTGCTGCTGCTGCGGCGGCGGTGGCCGCTGCTGCTGCCGCTGCCCAGCGGCTGCGGCGGCGCCGCTCCTTTCTTCTGCCGCTCCCTTCCCATGCTGCAGCTGCTGCTGCGGCCGCTGCTGCCGTGCCCGCTGCACGCTGCCACGCCATCACTGCCAGCCAGGCGACGGACCCTCTGTTGCGTGCGCACCCAGCACCCAGCCCACCGCCCGCCGCCCGCTGCGCCCCGCGCCTGCCTGCAGGAGGAGGATGCGGCGCCTGATGTTGAGGTGGACCCGGAGTTTGGGCTGTCCGGGGCGCTCGCCGCCGAGACCAACAAAGTCAAGTGCGCGCCAGCGGGGCGGCGGCCGCGGCGGGGCCGGGAGCGGGGCGGCGGCATGGTGCCCCCCGGCCCGCGCCCCCTGCCCGCCCGCCTGCCTGCGCCCCGCTCCAGGGCGCGTGCCGGCGATGCCGAGAGACCTTCCGAAGCCGCCGCCGCCGCGTGTGCTCAGCATGAGCACCCTGCCGCCCCGCCCCGCCCTGCCGCAGCGGCGTGGTGCTGTGCACCAGA